GAGCAGGGACACAGAGGTAGGGGCCTGGCCCCCCTGGGCTCCCGTCTCGTGGCTCGGAGCAGGGACACAGAGGTAGGGGCCTGGGCCCCCTGGGCTCCCGCCTCGCGGGCAGCCGGCGCCTTTGGGACCCAGGGCTATCAGGAGGGTGGCCTCTGCAGAGGGGCTCCTGAGCCATGTCCCTTTAAGAAGCATCAGCGGGAAGCTTCCCCAGAGCCGAGGGACACCGTGTGGGTCAAGGAGAGAGCAGGCTGTCAGCCCAGTGATTTGTGGTGCTAGGAGCTGACATTTATTAAAGTTCTTACACCCCAGGTACTTTTAAAAGTGCTTGAGTGGGACTTCCCTGGCCATCCCCTGGTTAAGACTCCGCACTGCCACTGCAGGGGTCACGGGTTCAATCCCTGGTCAGGGAGCTAAGATCCCGCGTGCCGCACCGTGCGGCCCCAAAGCAAACAGTGCTTGAGTGGCGCCACCTCCCCCGATTCTCAGAACCGTGTGTCCTGTTGTTATCCCCCGTTTACAGATGAGGAAACCGAGACTGAGGGAGGTTAAGCAACTTGCCCGAGGTCACACAGCTAAGTAAATGGCAGAGAAAGGATTTGTCCCAGGAGTCTGACCACAGAGCCCACTTTCCCTGCCACGCCAGGGGTTTTGCAGCACCCAGATGAGGAAGCAGGGGAGGGGCTGGGCAGATGGGGGAGCAGTAAAGAACGGGGACTAGGTTTGAACCTGTTACCCATCCCAGGGTCCTCACTCAGGTTAAGATGTGTGACAAAGCAGGACCTTTCTGAAGATCTGGCCTCAGAGGCTGTGCTGAGCCTTCTGGGGGCTCGGAGGGCCCGGAAGAAGGACCACAGGGCTGGGACCTGCCTCTAATGCTGTTTTGGGCACTAACCAGTCTCCTTGGGCCTCAGTTTCCTCCACTGTCAAATGGGTTCACAATAACGTCTCAGTTGAAAGCATTATATACACAGTAGGGATCATTATATCATGGGTGAGATTAAACCACAACGTGGTCCTCCTGGCACTCGTATAAAGTAAACATGGTTGGATGGTGTTAAAAGAGATCAATGTGTTTCGGAAGCCATATTGTGATTTCCTAGTGGAATTCTAGAGTATTCTGACAGCAACGCTGACCAACCATGCAGGGACACATGAAGAGTCCTGCTTACTATAAACTCCTCTGAAGGAAGGAAGCATCCACCATAACCTTTCTGAAACAGCCAGTGGGGCCTCCCAGAGCACGGCCCCTGGGGGGTCGTGGGGAAGCAGAGACGGGAGCGGACAGGCGGGCCCGGGCATCTGGGCATTGCTCCTGACCAGCTGCGTTTGCTTTCCCTTTCCTGCAGGTTTTGGAAGGAATGCCCCTCTTCGCAGAGCTCTCCGGGAACCTGGTGCCCATCAAGAAGGCCGCGCAGCAGCGGAGTTTCCTCTTCCAGTCTTTCCGGGAGAGCCGGTTGGCCATTCCTGTCAAGGTGCGGCCTCCTCTCGCCCACCCCTCGCCCGGGTCTAGAAGTCCGGGAGGTGGAGAGCTCTGAGCCAGCTGGGCTGGTGGCCAGTGGGGCGGCCCCTGACTCTCCCTTTTGTGTGACCGAGTCTAGGTGAGGGACAGCAGTCGAGATCCAGCAGGGTCCTTGTCATTCCTGCGCAAGGCGATGAAGTACGAGGACACGCAGCACATCCTCTGCCACCTAAACATCACCATGCCACCCTGCACCAAGGTGAGCGCCCTGCCGGGACTGTCAGCCGAACCGGTGGAGAAAGGCCCTGGGCTCTCCCCCGACACGGGCTGTGGCCCAGCCCTTCCCGCAAAGCTCGGGAACAAACGTCAGGGTGTGAGGGCGACGCACGTGTTCACACCGAGGCCCCGAGCTCCCCAGGACGCCCCTTCCAGGACGTGGGAAGGCGAGGCCTGACAACCGGGTGGCCGGTGGCTCAAGGTGTCCCAGCCACGTCAGGGCTCTTTTGGAGCCTCTTTTTCCTCTACTTACTTGTCTTGCCCAGGCCCTCAGAGAAGGGAAGCCTGGTGTCTCAGCCCTGCGCTCGCCCAGGGCTCTGAGCTCAGCAGAGGTGTGGGCACCAAGCGTCACTGGTGCCTGGGAGCAGCTGAGTCTCCGCTGCGCTGGAGGGAGGGTCTCTCTTGCTGGTGTCGTCCTGTTATTTTCATCATCAGCCTTTCATGCCGAACTAGACAAACAAGGTCACATCCAGATATCTGAGGCTCGTTTTCTCCTTTCTGTCTGAGGACTAGGGAGAACCGACTTCCCTTTCACAGGCGGGTTTCCCACAGCCTTGAACAAGCATCCCGGTGCTTTGCCACAGCGTGCGAAGGCTTGGGCATCAAAAACCGGTCTTTTGAGCAGAAAGGAATCCAAAAAGAAAAACTTTTTTAAAAATTCAAACTCCAGCTCCACCCACTTACTGGCTGAGTTACCTTGGGCGGGTTAGTCTGCCCTCTGGGTCTCAGTTTCCTCCTCCCCGGTGAGATGGGAGGAATGATGGTACCTACCTCATAGGGAGTTGTGTCCATCAAGCAGGGCCTGGCACGTGATGAGGGCCGTGTGAGCTTATCCTTAATGATAATAATAATAAAGTACGTTAAGACTCCCTCTCGCCCCCCCTCTGCCCACACTTCTACCCTGTGTGTCGAGGCTCCAGGCAGTGCAGCTGCCCATCGCCTGCCAGGCCAGGCGTCCTCCCCGCCTGCACCCACAGCGCCCTTTCCTGGTCTCTCTCTGGCAGGGCAGTGGAGCCGATGACCGGAGGAGGACCCTGACGCCACTGGCCCTGAGATACAGCATCCTCAGCGAGTCCACATTGGGTACCAACCTCTCTGTGACTCTCTGTGCTCACTCCCTTCTCGGGAGCGGTGAGGGCGGCAGCGTCCCCTCACCCCGACGGGAGCTCCGAGCTGACACCATTGGCTCAGCCCTTGGCTGGGGTCTCCACTGACCCTCGCAGGCCCAGCCAGCAATCGGGTGGACATGGAGCGGGCCCCGAGCCCCTCTGAGGTCCCTCGCCCACGCCTGTCAGCTCTGTGTCCCGCCAAGGCTACTAAATGGAACGCGATGCTTCCCCCCAGGTGTCCTCAGCGGCGCAGACCGGGCTGACATGAAGATGGCTATTATATCAGAGCACCTGGGCCTCAGCTGGGCCGGTGAGTGGGGCAATTGGGGCAGAAGAGCACTTTGCCTGTCTACACCTACCTCTGCACCTCCTCTCCGCTAAAGGGCAGCTGGTGAAGGCGTTTCTAAACCTCTTCCCTCCACCGGTGTGCCCCTGATCTGGGACTGTCGCCATGGTTTACCAATAGAGGGGGGCTCCCTCCCTCCCCCACTTCTCTCTGGTTTTCCTTTTTAGAAACTCAACTGCAGACGTTACAGGAGACCTTAGCATGGATCCAGGCTGCCCATTTTACAGATGGGGAGGCTGAGACCTAGCTAACTGGGGGGACTTCAGTTGTGCAGTGAGTTAGTGACAGAGCCCTGCAAAGCCAGCAAACCGAGAACACACACAAGCAAACAAAAAACGCGCGTCCCGCCTGCCTGCCTGCCCACCGCTCCGGCCCCGTACACGCGCGTCCCGCCTGCCTGCCCACCGCTCCGGCCCCGCACATGCGCGTCCCGCCTGCCTGCCACCGCCCCGGCCCCGCACACGCGCTTCCCGCCTGCCTGCCACCGCCCCGGCCCCGCACACGCCGCCGCCCCACAGGCTGGCGTGGCTGAGGGAAGGGAGGGAAGAAGATCAAGTCTGGACGTTTTTCATTTGTCATCTCTGGCCGTGGCTGAAGTCATACACGAGCCCCGTCCACCATGAGGGGAGACCTGACGCAACTGAGGCGGTGACAGCTCAGGCTGCGTCCTACTCAGTCGCAGGCCCTGTGACTTAATCCCCACTTTCCTGTGAGACTTTGGATGAACAGGCCCCCTTCACTCAGCCACCTGCAGAGAGGGCTTCAGACAAGCTCGGAAACCTTAGCAGTAACTTCCTGGAAGGCGGCGTGGCGGAGCTCACAGTAGAAGTTGAGACTGCTCCTCCTTTAAGCCCGAAAAGCACATCTGCTGCTGCTCCTTGGTTTTGTGTGTGTTTGTGTGTGTGGCTTGTATGTGGTGTGTGTGAGAGATGTGGTATGTGTGGTGTGTATGTGTGTGGCTTGTGTGTTGTGTGTGGGTGTGCATATGTGATGCATGTGGGGGGTGTGTGTGTGTGTATGTGTGGTGTGTGTGTGGTGTGTGTGAGTGTGTGTATGTGTGGTGTGTGTGTGTGGTGTGTGTGAGTGTGTGTGTGGTGTGTGTGTGGTGTGTGTGAGTGTGTGTATGTGTGTGTGTGTGTGTGTGGGTGTGTGGAGGGGGTACATGCATATGCTGATTCTCACCATCAGTTTCCCCTCTGGTCTTCCTCATCCTTGAAATGAGACTCCGATGCTGTTCTCTCATCTAAAGCACCTGAGAGAAATAACAATAAAAATCACGGGAGGGGAAGAGCTAGCATTCTGTATTGCCTTGCATTTAGATGGGAAATTGTATTTTCATTTTAAATGTGAATAACGCCTTTCCGGGAAGAAACGTAAACACAGTAATGCATTTCCATTATAACTGCTTCTCCCGGGAAAGGCAGTGGCATGCAGCGCAGACCACAGCACCGAGGGAGTCAGTGGGTCCGTCCCTCTCCCGCTGTGGCCCCAGCCTGTCTTGTGACCTTGGATAAGTGGCTCAGCCTCATTCATTCAATACCTATTTACTCCCCTGGGCACATGCCTCCTCCTGGCTCGTTCCCGGGGGATACAACAGTGTAAGTGTCAGCATTTCACCAGGTATTCCTTGGGAAGAAGGAATACCGAATCCAGAGGGAGACTGCTGTTTATCTCCTGGTCCCTGCCGGGCGCCCCACTCCACGCGCGGGCTCGGGGGCCGGGGCTGGGCTCTGGCTGGGCTCACACCCGGTCTTGGTTCTTTGTGCGCAGAGCTGGCCCGCGAGCTGCAGTTCAGCGTGGATGACATCAACAGGATCCGCGTGGAGAACCCCAACTCCTTGCTGGAGCAGAGCGTGGCCTTGTTGAACCTCTGGGTCATCCGTGAAGGCCAAGATGCAAAGAGTCAGTACCGATGGGCTGGGGAGCCTTCTCTCCCCAAAGCCTGTGCCAGGACCTCTTCTCACCAAGTAGTTCTCCCTCCAAATTCCCTGGGTGGTGTTGGCCTTTGGAACCAATCTCTTCTGCACACTCTGTCTCACACATACATACACGCACAGTCACGCACACATGCACCCCTCAGGATCCCTGGTCTTCTGGGCAAGGCTGCCGGGAGGGGATTTTGGAGAATCTTGGCCGTGATCTCTTCCCATCCTCAGAATGAGTTCACAGCGCACCAGGACCCCTAGAAGACAGACAGCATGTGTGTAGGGTGTGTGCCTTCCGGTTGAATTTCTCAAACAAATGAGGATTGTCCCGTCGGGACAGAGCCCAGTGAGGAGTCACCCCTCGGATGGAGTTCTTCTTCCAGGATTTTCTCCAACGGGGGAGGGAAGATTTGTCTCACTCTCTTCAGCCCCTCCTCCACCCCATTCCCGCATACAAAGCGCTAAGAGGAAATTGAGTGTTTACGTTTGCATGGCAAATCAGCTGGCAAGGACCAAGGATTTCCAGAAGACAGAATCCAATCATTCTCACTCATCTTCTTGTAGTATTCCTCTTAGGTTACAAAAAAACACTTCCCATGCCTTGAAATTCGCCGCTGTTAGGGTCTGGAAAAGATCGGTTAAAGGATAACAAAACACAGGTCTACCTCACTTTACGGCGCTTCGCAGATACTGTGTTTTTTTCCCAATCAAATTCAGCAGGTCTGTTCCAACAGCATTTGCTCACTTCGTGTCTGTCACATTTGGGTAATTCTCTCAGTGTTTCAAAACTTCTCATTATGATTGCGTTTGTTACGCTGATCTGTTATCAGTGATCCTTATGTGACTATTAAGACTCACTGAAGGCTCAGAGGACAGTTAGCGTTTTTTAGCCATAAAATATTTTAAAGGTATGGTAGATGCCTTGTCTTTCTAGACAGAATGCTACTGCACACTTAATAGACTAGAGTGTAGTGTAAGCATAACTTTTATATGCACTGGGAAAACAACAACATTCGTGTTCTCGCTTTACCGCGATTTTGGCTTTATTGTGTGGGCCGGACGGGAACCGCAGTGTCCCCAGATCTGCCGTCTTCTCCAAAGAGGTAGTTTGCTTTGACTTCGACAAAAGCAGGGGCCTGCAATCCCCCTCCTCGCAGTCTTCCCCCCACCCCACCAGAGTTCAGAGCCGGGCGTCCCGCGCGCCCTGCGATGGGTAGCGGTCCCCCCAGCGCCCTCCTTCCTCCCCTCTGCCCGCAGTGGAGAACCTGTACGCGGCCCTGCGGCACATCGACCGCGGCGAGATCGTGAACATGCTGGAGGGCTCGGGCAGGCAGGGCCGCAACCTGAAGCCCGACCGCCGGCCCACGGACCGGGACTACTCGTCGTCCCCCTCCCAGATGAATGGTGAGTGTCTCCTGGACGAAGGGGCCGAGCCGCCGCCTCCTGACCCTCCCTGGAACCTTCTCTCCCGGTGACCGGAGGTCAGTCTCTCTCTGGACGGGCGGTGGTGAACGCAGAGGTGGTGGGGGACGCCCGGGGCCCGGGCAGGACGGGAGGAGCCGAGGCCCCGCTCAACGCCCCGCGTGCCGCACGCCCCCCAGCTCTGCACATGCGCGCACCCATCGACCCAGTCGGTGGGGAGACGCAAGGGCGCTAGGTTCTGGCGCAGGTCCCATGGGGACCAGCCAGGGGGAGTCCTGAAGCCCTATTGCCGCCCCTTTTCTGAGACTAAGCGGGATCTTTTCTTCAGCCCGGTCTCTGCTTTTCTCTCCCTTTTTTCTCGCCCCATCTCTTTCCCCCTGACTCGTTTTGATGCGGTTCGTTATGCCAAGAAGCCCCCATGTGACCGGGCCCCGGGGGGTCCTGACCTTTGCCCCCAGCACCCACCCCTGCGGCCTTTGAGGACACCTTCCTTTTAGCAGGGGAAGCGGTCAAGTGAGGAGCAGGGCCGGGACCCCCACTGCCCCTCCATCTCTGTCGCTGACCAGGGGTGCAGAAGCAGGGCGGAGGCCCTACCCTGCAGTGGGAGCCGGGAGGCTGGCTTCTATCCCCTTTCCGCCTGACTCCACTGCTGAGTCATCAGCCTCTTCTCTAAAATCAGCAAGTTGGATTAGAGACCTGAGGCTCCTCACAGGCCTTGAAAAGCAATATGGTTCTGTGAACCGGCTTCCATGAGGCCGGAACATGCCCCATCCCGCAGCTGCGTCGCTGTCCTCCCCCAGCTCCTAGGTCACCAGCCTTCCCGGCCACGCGCACGTGCGCGCGCTGTGTGGGCCCCTGTGGCGGGGGTCTTGTGAGTGGAAGGTGGGGACAGGGGCCCTGTCCAGGGGGATGCTGTGCCCCTGACACTGGTGACTCTCCCACATCCTGTGTCTCCTGAAACATGCCATCCAGGGCCCCTGGGCACAGGGCTCATCTGTTGACTGCGTGCTGTGGCCTTTCTCTTCTGCCTCTGACCTCACCTGGCCTGCAAGTCCGCTCTCTCCCCCACTGCCTGTCTCCACTGTCTCACCTGGGCCAGGTGTTCAGGGGCCCTCAGCCTCCACTGATGCATGTCACCAAGGGCCCCCGCTCTGATGCTGGGGCGCCCTCGCTGCCTGCTGGGACCTGTGTGCCCTCAGGGCTGTTCCCATGGAGGAGGCTTGCCCCTCAGTCCCAGCGTTGAGGGCTCCCAGGCTGGCCCTCTCCCCGCTCTTGGGGGACTAGGCGGACACAGCAGGGACTGCTAAGTGACCAACTCCCTTTCACTAGGAGCGAGGGAAGGGGGCTGATTGCTGCAAACTGGGAGAAGTCAAGTGACAGAACACTTCTCCCTTTTTTACGTGATAACCGGTGACTTGGTTGGGTTTCTTAACATCCCCAGAGCTGTTTCAATCAAGTCAACTCAAGTTTTGGGGGTTTTGTCCCCCAGTTCTACGGACACCAGGCCCATAAAATTACATGAGTATAAACAAGGCAGTTACAACAATCAAAAATCTGTCAAGAGGATAGAGCCCATGTCAAGTGTTCTTATCACAATAAAAAAACTGTTCAAAAGGGCAGTTACGGACCCAGGCGTTTATGAATGTCTCCGCTGGCCTCAGGATTCCAGTTGGGCCTGGAGACTCTCATCTAACGCCTGAGCAGAGTCTGACCCCCCGTGGGCCTGGGTCCTGTGCTCCGTGACTGTGGAAAGGCTGTGCAGTTGGTCAGCTCACTTGGCAAATATTTTCTGAACACCTGCCACATGCCAGGGGCTGTTCTAAGCGGGGCAGATAAGTCAGTTCTCAAACAGACAAAAAGAAAGAAAGAAAGAAAGAAAAGTCCCAAACTCTGCCTTCATGGAGCTTACCTTTTGTGTAGAGAGGCAAACAAAAATATAATATGTTAAGTGAATTGTATAATGCACTAGCAAGTAGATGCTGGGAAAAAAACAGACTCAAGCAAGGGGGATCAGAGTGCTGGGCTTGGGGAAGTAAATAGTGGGGTGGGAGCGGGTAGCATCTGAACAAAGGCTGGAGGGAGAGGAGGGAGAGAGCACCATACAAGCGTCCCGGGCAGTGGCCCTGAGCGGGCGTGCCTGGTGCATCCGCAGAACAGTGAGGGGCCAGAGGGGAGGAAGAAAGGGCAGGGGCAGCAGGAGGGCGGCTCTTCCAGGCCTTCCTGAGGACACTGGTTTTGCTGGGAGAGTGATGGAGAGCCGCTGGAGGCTTGGAGCAGAGGGGTCACAAGGTCTAACAAGTTTACAAGGGATCCTCCCCTGCTTTGGTTGCAGACGTCACGCTCTGAATGCTTCTGTGCTTCCTGGCTGCTCTGTCGCCTGTCAGCCCTTCTGAACCCCCTCGTCCAGCAGGTGTCCCGGCAAACGCAGGCCGTGTGCCCTGTGTGCACGCTCCCCCAGGCCGGAGCAGACGCTCAGAAGCAGACGCCCGCTTGGTCCATCCTGCCTTTCTGGGCACCAGAGCTGGCTTCTGTGTATTTTTCCTGCCTTCTTTGCAGTCCCAGGAAGACCATCCCACATGTGGGTGCCCTTCTGGCCCGGAGAGAAGGAGCAGGAGGGATCAGAGGTGGAAGGACAGGGGGACAGCAGCCTCCTGCGCTTCCTCTGGCTTTCTGTCCTGGGCCGGCCCAGGCCTCTGCGCCGATGGCCACGGCGGCACCTTGCCTCCTCTGTGCTTTACCTCGTTCTCTGCTCGTCTCAGCCTCCCTATGGGCACTCGAGGCAGTGACTGGTTGATCTGTGGTGTCAGGAAGATAGGAACCTGAGGTCTCTTGTCCTTCCTTCCTGGCTCTTCTTGCTGTGTTTGCCTGGACTGGCCAGAGCAGAAGGGGCTTTAAGTCAAAAAGCAAGTTTGCTTCTCTTGCACAGGAGGGAACTACCCCAGGCCCTTGGAATAAACATGAAAAAAAATTGCCCGTGGAGCGAAAAAAAAGCATGTTCCTAAAAATAAAACAGATTTCTCATGTAAAAGGAAAAAATGGACATCTCACATCCTGTTTGGTCAACTCCATTTGGTGTGATGAGTTGGACACAATGTCTACTTAGAAATACAGTATGTCTCATTTCTACGGACTCTTAGTGAACACAGCTAGTGAAGTGCGGCTCCTGCCTGAGTTAGGGTTGTCTGTCCACCCTTGTCTGGTTTGCTGCTGACATCAAACTAGTGGGGGCAGCGTTAGGCCTAGGTTAACAGAGACCCAGTGTGACAGCCCAGATGAGGGGAGGCTGGGGGGCGGGCCACTGCTGGACGGCTCTGCTCCAAAGCTGTGTGTTTGGTTGCCTGTTACCTGATTTCCCCAAAAGGCAACCCCAGAGAGGAGAGCTCTAGACTGAGGGATGGGCTGGTGACCCAGGTATGGCAGGGCCACGTGAGACTGCCAGAGAGACAGGCACTTCTGGAGCTCAACCCAGGGGACTCAGCAAACCTTCCTGTGCTGTGGTCCACCCCAGACCGTGTGAGACGGCCCTCGCTGAGCATGGCCCCTATGAGCAGTAATCCCCACTCCACTGAGTATGGACACCTACAGCCCCAGATCCACGCTTCGGGGGTGAGAGTGGGGTCAGCGGGGTCTTCTGGAGACTGAGAGGGAGCAGGGGGCGTAGCCCCTAAACACTGCGACCAGGGGAGGGCCTCCAGGACAAAACACAAGGCAGAAAGAAGTCCTGGGGGAGGGTTGCACAAGTTCCCTTCATGGACACATTTTTGCTTGGGTGAAATTCCATTCACATGAACCCCAGGAAGTTTCAAGGTGGAAAAGTCACCAAGAATGAGCCTCGGGTGTTCTGTGACCAGCAGAGTTACCCTCTCCCAGCCTTTATGAAGTCTTACTGAGATTCCCAGGAGTGAACATGTTTATCCGGCCGTATCTGAGGGACTGTCTGTGATGCATCCACTTCTGGCCAAGATGAGGCAACAGGGACTGAATATACGCTCCTGCTTGAAAGCAAAAAATGGACAAATTATATGAAACAACGGTTTTCGAGACATTGGACATCAGGCAGCAAAGGACAGTGATCTATGAGACATGGAAAATAAATGAGGTGAACCCTACAGTTGCCTAGATCACTGCCTCGAAAGAGTTTCTAAGTCATGGCAGAAGGAAGAGAAATCCAAGAAGACTCCCTGGTTCAGGAGAAGTCGCTGGGAGTCCAAGGAGACCAGGGCAGCTAGAGTTCCCTAGAGAGACAGCTGCACACAGAGAGAGCTCTGGAGACCTCCAGAAGGTTCCCCGCAAGTTTTGGTTGAATATTCATCATCTGTTCCCAATAGGCAGACTGATCGTTCACAGACACTGCATAGGGAGCACAGAATGGTCCTGTCTCGGAAATGGAGAGTGATTAGCCCTAGGTTGGTCAATGCTCCTAGCTAATAAACCTTGAAAGCAAAACTCAAAAGGATCAAACTGTTTCCAAGGAACTCAACTACATAACAGAGCAAAGTTCAAGAATTGTTATAGGGATACAAAAATACCCAGCACCCAACTAGATAAAAGTCACAACATCCAATTAAAGATTACCAGACATACATACAAAGAGGCAGGGAAACACAACCCATAATAAGGAGAAAAGTCAATCAACTGAAACTGACGCAGATATTAGAATTAGCAGACAAGAATGGTAAAGCAGTTAATAACTATTTCAGATGTTTAAAAAGTGAAGTAGAGACTTGGAAGATTTTTTTTTTTGGCTGTGTTGGGTCTTCGTTGCTGCGCATGGGCTTTCTCTAGCTGCAGCGAGCGGGGGCTACTCTTTGTTGCGGTGCGCAGGCTTCTCATTGTGGTGGCTTCTCTTGTTGTGGAGCACGGGGTCTAGGCTCGCGGGCTTCAGTAGTTGTGACACATGGGCTCAGTAGTTGTGGCTCACGGGCTCTAGAGCGCAGGCTCTGTAGTTGTGGCGCACGGGCTTAGTTGCTCCGTGGCATGTG